TGCACATTGGAAGGTTGCATAAATCAGATGTTTAACTAGTAAATCAGACTTCACACCGTTCGGGTGCTCATTAAAAGATATACCCACCACATGGAAAAAGCAAGCATGGAGGTCCAGAGAACACGTTTAATTTTTTCTTGCTGTGTGTGTCACACAGGAGTGCATCAGGTATATTTTTTGACCACCAAGTTTAATGTTTTTTCAGTGGTGGAAAAGGTAAAAGCTCCCAATATGCGTCACATCTGGTAAACTTGTGCATTACCTAGAATTCCAAGTTCCACAGTTGTAAGTACAATTTCATCAGCTGTTGGAGTGAATTTACAAGTTGGAAAATTGGTATTTCCCAGTTCCTGACAACACTCGAATACATGAGTGCAGCGCCTGATGTGTACATTCATGCTATGATGTTTCAGTCCTGGTTTTCTGCGTTAGATTACACAGATATGTTACTTTGTACAAACTGACCTGTCAGATTCCTTAAAACATTAATTTCAGAAGCTCTCCTGGTAAAAATAATCCAGGTTGAGTAGTGCTTAAGCCCAGCATCTAATTCTTCAGCTGTACAATAGTATAGTTGGCTTTTCTGTTTTGTTACCAGTTCCTTTTTTCTGACAGGTAATGAGGAAAAAAGTGAATTCTTGCCTTGTTTCTTATGTTTGTATGACTTTCTTCTTTTTGTCCTCTGTTATTGTTCATATACTGTTAAGATGTGTTGTGTTGTCCCTTAGAGGAGACAGCCTGCCTCTTTCTTCACTTTGAGCAGCCGTTCTTTCTGTCAAGTTAGGATTGTTATTCTTGTTTGTCGTGTGATGCAGCTTCTGTCGTTTTGTTTTAGAGTCTTTGGTCACACACTGTATCGTCTAGGCTTTTCTTTTGTCTTCTGCTTTGAGTAGCTACACCTGTGCTTGTACTAATGAATTTAGTATCATTTTCAACTAAAAGAACAGACAAGGAGTTCGTTTTCTTTACTGCCTTCTTTGGGTCTCATGTTGTTTTCTTTTCCCCAGAGTATAAATGGATACGTTGGCTTCTTGTCGTCTTGGCAGATCACAGCTCTGCTGGTTGGATATAGATGGAAAAATGGAATAAGTGTGTGTGCGTGTGTGTGTGTAATAATGTGAGGGGACAGCCCTATGTTTGAGAGGTAATGATGCAGCCGAGTGTTGTCTGTGCTCACAGTGAATGCTGTTTCTGCCCCGTCATGCCCCCAATATGCCTTTATTAACTTCTCCAGTGCTGCAGCTACAGTCATTTCCGCATGCACAAGCCAGCACAAGTGGAACCAAATGGACACTATGATGTCCATGTTTATTTTCACACATTGTCAGGAGAGGAATGTTTTTCAGGACCAACATCAGGGACCGACTTTGTAATATGCTTTTCTTTGTTTACAGAAGCAAAGAAGAATTTTTTTTTAACAGATGTAGCAGTGCTGCTGGAGTTTTAAACCTCAGTGTCACTGCTGGACTGAGAATAGTCCACCAACCAAAAATATCCAGCCAACAGCATTCTGTGGGCGGCTTGCTGTGACTACTGATGAAGGACTAGAGGGTGACCAGCGCAAACTGTGCAGAAACAGACGAGCTCCAGCAGCAAGGTGGAGCAACGAGGTAGATGTGTCTAATAGAGTGGACAGCAACACAGCAACACCAAAACAAACCAGCTCAACCATATATATAATATAATAATAATAATAATAATAATAATAATAATAATATTTTTTACTTATGTAGCACTTTTCATGCCAGTGGCAGCTCAAAGTGCTTTACAGACAGGTGATAACGCTTAACAGTAATACAAGAAAGTATAAGTATAAATTTAGAGTCATATAAGAAAATGACACAGATCAAATTAAAAGATAAATACCACGGGACGTAGAGTTTTAATTAAATGCTGAGTTAAAGAGATACGCTTTTAGATGCGTCTTAAAAGTGAGAACTGAGCTTGACTGACTAATAAAAGGTGGAACTGAGTTCCACAGTTTGAAGCAGAATAACTGAAAGAGTCTCTCCACATTTTCTGTATTTTACAGAAGGTATAAGGTCTGTATCTGCAGATCTTAGATCACGTGCTGGAACATAAACAGACAGACACTCTGTAATGTAAGTGGGGGTATTAAGGCCATTTAGAGCCTTAAAAACTAGGAACAGAACTTTAAAATCTATGCTGAGAGATACAGGCAGTTCTTTTAAAATGGAAGTGATATGATCTCTCTTTTTTTTTGTTAGGATCTGCACTGCTGAATTTTGTGGGAGGTATTGTTTTCTTAGGAAGTCCAGTAAAAAGAGCAACAGTAAACAACTCTGCTCGAAATCTTTTCAACGAATGATTTCCAATCAAAACCATGATCTGCATATTCAAGACCCAGCATTCAAGACGCTGGATTAAAATCTTGAGGTCAACGGTATATATATATATATATATATATATATATATATATATATATAATTTTTATATACATACACACACACACATTATATATATATGCGCATACAACACAATAACTAAATATCCTAACAGCTTCCACTGTTTTCAGGAGATGTGCTTCCAGTTTTTCAAACACGTCTGCAGGGATATTTTTTCACACCTCCAAAGTTCAGTCTTAGTTCTCACAATAAAAGTAATCCCCAACACATTCAGTGATGTTGAGATCTGGACTATGGGGTGGTCAGTCCATTAATCTAAAAACACCAGCAACTTCTGTTTGATCTGCAAATTTTCTTTGTTTTTGTCTATTTCTTTGTCAGTAACAACTACACATCCTATCAGACTCATAGCATTGAGTTTATCTGATGGTGCCTGTTTTGTTGGTTCAGAGGCCCATTTTCTCTCTCTTTTAGCACCTTAAATGGTCAGCGCCCAGTTTCGTTATACACTTGTATAGCCTAAAAATAGTTAAACCAGTTTGCATTGAACTGGTTTAATTAGCATTTTGCAAACTCCTGCATCACTTATTTTTCTTTGACATTCTCCTTTCTTTTGAGAAAGCGAGAGAGAGAACTAGTGACTAAGAGAATAAGGGAGATGCCAAGCATGAGCTGAGCTGAACCGAGTAAATGAATGAGAGTAATAAAGGAAGAGAGGAAGGATGAAAGAATAATGAAAGAGAGAGCAGGAATGGACAGGCCGCTTTATACAGGCGAGCAATGAGAGGAAGGCTTAACCTTCCAAATCAGAAGAAAAAAAAAGACTTCTCTCTTTCTCTCTCGTTTGGATGAATGAGAGAGAGAGAGAAAGAGGCTGTGAATGGGAAAAGAGAAAGAGAGAGAGAAGGGCCTGCAGGTGAAAGACTTTTCTTTTTTCATGTCTGGCCTTCGCCTTTTTTGTTCTCTCTGTTCAGCCTGCAGCGCCCTATCCCTCGCTACTGCCAAACAAGATGGAGAGATCGTGCCCAACAGAGAGAAGAAATGAAGGAGAGGAAATGGAGGAATAAAGAGCAAGACACTTCCAGAGGGAGGGTAAAGAACCTGATGAGAAGATGAACAGGAGAGTGTGTGTGTGTGTGTGTGTGTGGAGACAGAGAGAGAGGTTTTAAACGTACATGATTACTCACTCCACTGTGTTATCCTTGGTTCACCTGGTCAGTGAGGTCTTTAGTTTGAGTCACCAGAACCATTGTACTGTTTTCAATGAATACAATATTTTATACTGTATGCAGCTACACTGTTTTCACACTGATTTAAAGCAATGTTTCAGGCAAAAATCAGATGCCGCAAAGTTTCCAGCAGCAGTATGTCAAAATATTACTTATATTAAAAAGTTTGTTTTGAGATACTAAGTTAAAAAATATTGACTTAGTATGCCATAATAATGACTTAGTTTTTCTTAATAATTACTATGTCAGAAATAATTACCACTTTTCTCAAAATATTGACTTTATTATATTAGAATAATGAAGAATTTCCTGTAAATACTGACTTACTATATTCAAAATAAAGACTCAACATGTATATAGTAGTATAGTATAGTAGTGTTGTAATGACTATTATGCCAAAATAATTAGTAAGTCAAAATCTTAAGAAAATAAGTCATTATTTCCAAATACATGCTCTACCAGAATTCTGAGAAAGAATTTTGAGAGAAAAAAGCCATTTAGTAAGATATTAAGTCATTATTTCAAGACAGTCAATATTCTGACAGATTGCTATTAGAAACAGAGGAGGAAAAACTGAAGTGATTTTATTCTCCTGTACTTGGCATATATGGGCTTCTACCGATCAGCCAAGACATCTTTGGTGTCTAAAGTTTGTGTCTGTCTTTGTTTATTATTTATCACTAGCTACAAGGCTAATGTAACTAACAAATAATAGAAGCTTACAGGTGCCAGGTAAACACTGTGTAAACTGTGTGCCTAAATCCTCACACAGAACATGCATCATATTGTTACTCTCAAACAGACAGACTAATGAGGTTTCTGACACTGTATGACATTGTGTTATCTAAAGACAAAAGTATGTGGCATAACTAAAAACACTAGCATCAGTTCTGAAGAATTTTGTCCATCCTGCTTTTATGGATACCAGTACGACTTAAAGTTTAAAGCACAAAGTCTTTGAGATGATGCAACTCAACAGGGTTTAAGGTTTGTGTGTGATGACTGAGGCATGCAGTTTGTACAATGCTAATTGGTTTTAAGTACTTGTTAGTTCCAGCGCAAAACTTCAGACATCAAACATGACTTGGTTGATCGACTATATTTTGAGTCAAGTGGAAAATGCAAATTGTGTCATTACTTGAATTGTATCGTAATGCGTTTGCTGATGTATGCATGTAATTAATAGCACAGTATACACACTTAAATGAACCCTAAGCGCGTGCTCTCCATGACAGACCTCAGGCATGCATGTGAGTAATCCTAACTAGGTCGTTTATTCATTACCACATAGATCAGTATAACCCGGGCACCAACCACGTGTCTGTAAGAGTGTGTGTGAGTGTGACCATGAGAGGAAGTGATCACATGTGAGAGGCACAAAGCATCCATACACACGCACACATGCTCATGATAGATTTGGATTTTTATTTTTCAGCATTATTCTTTGCAGTTCTTTTCTCAAATGCAGCTACATGGCATCTATGAAATGTGAACTACAACCATGAACTAACAGTATAACCATACATGAAATATTTGGGAATAAAGGAAAGGGAACCAAAAAAAATAACAAAACACTCACTGAGAAAACACCCGTTTTATTTTGCAAGATTAATATTCATTTAAACTTTTAACTCTTATCACTCCAACTAATTTTCTAAGCACCTAATTATTCAGATTGCATAACAGTATAATACATCAAAAAATACTGAGTACAGAACAAACCTCTTACCTAATTTTAAGTAGGCACATTTATAAGATATCCTTTTTTCTTTTGATCCTGTTTATTCCAGTTTCATAATGAGATTCAAACTCAGCAAGTAGAAATGCCCTCTGACAGGTATACATGTTGAAGGTCTACATTGAATTGCACTATGTACAGTACATATAAAAACACTGCAAAAAGTAGTTTCTATGTAGGTTAAACTTTCTGTCAAAACCCCTGGATTACTAAGGCCCCCAAATCTGGATGCAATATGTGCAGTTTAGTAATTTGTGTCAGTAGATCACATCTAGATACATCTGGATTAGATTGCCTTCAGATGAACTAATATATCACAGCTCAAAGTTTCTAATGGGTTCTGCTGTTTCCCTCACAAACATGGCATGTCAAACTGAAAAACAGTCTTGTATTGATTGGCCCCCCATCAAAAACAAAGCCTCCTCTGTTTACATCTGCAGCTTCAAAGGTTGCCTGTCCTTTACCATCTGCTTTGTTTTGTCTGTCTCCCAGGTAACGTCAAAAATGCTGGTAGATCAGTGTTAGCTGTGGATCTGTGGCTCACAGGAAGTAAAAAACAATGAGAGGAACACACACTGGCAGCAGGTACACTTCGTAGACTTTGTGTGGGGCAGAGAGATTTCACACCCTCACCGTTTCTCTCTATGATGCTCCGCCTACAAATGTGTTTTACTTTTGTGAGGTTAGACAAACTTTACAGAATGTTGGCAAAAATCTTATTCATCATAGTGTGAAACTGTAGCGCACAATTTGCCAGCTTGTCAAAAAGTAAAGTTATTCATAATAGACCGTTACAGTGTTTGTTTAGAGCAGTGGTTCCCAAACTGGGGTATGCATACTCAGAGGGGTGCGCCAAATGATGTTGGGGGTACGTAAAATTATGTTCTGATGTTTGACATTTACACTTCATTTAATTTTCATTTCGTTCAGGCTGTGCAATTACACAGGTACGTCCCCAGTAGAGACAACACAAACAGCGCCGCTAGCTCTGCACTTCACTTATAAACTCCTGAACAAGAGGTCAGGTTTAATGAACAGTGCTGGATTTCTGGACAGCACTGAGTACTGGGTTATATGAATGAGTGATGAGGTAATAATGAACAAACTGTATGAATGAATGAATGAATGAATGAATGAATGAATGAATGAGGAAGGTGAGATATTTACAACATTCAGCACATGTTGAACCTATGTTGTAATGGTTAGGCTTTGTTGGAGAAGAAAGCGTTTCACTACGGTTTATTCTGTGCACTGAAACCAAAATAGCAACCACCAGGGACACCATAACAATGGCTTAGCAACACCTTAGCAGGCACATGAGATAACAAAGCCAACTTAATAGTATTTTGACAAGAACTATGATGTGTGCCACAATTCCTTTTTAGTTTGAATGAGAATTTTGTCAAGGTTCTTGTTTAAAGCTTGTCCAACCTGCCAACAGCTCCTATGAAAGAACATTTGTATGGATAGATAAAGCCTTTTTGAAGAGTCACTTTACACCCTGTGATACAGTGAAGGCTATAGTTTCCAGTAGAAATAGACAGCTTCTCTCTCCGTCTTACTTACCTCCTCTCTGTCTGCTAAGCCCTCTATAAGCCAGTCAGTTTAAAAGACTGAAACCAGAAGCTGGAGTGCATCCATAGAGACTTCCGCAACTCTGGCTTAAGACCGTCTGTATACATGGGCTATTTCTGCATCAGTCATTGCACAGAAAGCCAAAATCAGATTTTTCTTCAGCCTGACGATTTTCCATTTTAGTACAGCTTTCATGAGTGGAATATTAATTTTAGAAGCTACTTAAAGGTCACTCAGACTATTTCAGGGTCAAGGATTTTGTGTGTGTTCCAGCATACTGCTTTAAAGCTTCATCGACAATTCACAATACATGCTTCATGCTTTCAGTTATAAATGATCATAATTAGAACTTTGTCCTTTTTAAGCTCTGTCTACAGAGCGCTGTTCATTTCTACGGTATAATGTGCTGTAGCCCAAATCCCCTCTTTACAACAGTTCAGGCTTTTCGAAAAACTGCAGAAAGATAAAACTTTGATTGAGGTGATTCAGCACTTATATTTGAAGATGAAGACACCCCATCACAGCATGTTAAATAAGTGAGTATACACTTACAGTGCCAGTACAAGCAGTAGCACTCTGCTTCGCGTGAAAGACAGGCCTTCGTTTGTCATGTTGCGAAGCGTCCAGGCAGAAATCGTGTGAAGAGAGAGAGGGTTGGAGGGAGAAGAAGGATTTCACTGTGTCAAATGCATGATTATCGCACATTCTTTGCTACAGTATACAAGCAAAGAGCACAATCCCTTTAATCAGTCAGCCACGCCAAGAATAATAGCTGGTTTCAGAAAACATTCGGACAGTTTCTGAGTACTAAAGTGTTATGCTAAATCATACATTAGCGCTACCCTGCAATTTAAATATCTAATGCAATCATTATTACTTGACTTTATTGCTTGTGCTACGATGTGAAATATGATGCAGATTACGGTATTATTATGACCATGCTCCCATTCTTCTGCTTCAGTGTTTACAGCATCTTCTGGAGAGTTTAGTATTAATATTTCTCATAAACATTATTTTACGCTTCACTAATGCAACATTAAAATGAAATAAAATGAAATTTAGATCCTTTTAAAAATGTTGCTGTAGGAAAAGCACCACAGACATACACATACATTTACATATTCGGAATTCAGAATTCATTACAATTTCCCATTACTCAACATAATACATATATATCTATATATTATTGCTTCATTAATTTCAAAATTAGAATCATCCATGTGTAAAAATATACTTTTTCCAAAGGCCATAAAAACTGTGCTTTGTGAACAATATTCCCCAGAGTGAGAAAAGCTGTATATGTAACTATATAAGCTGTATATACAGCTGATAATAGCTGTAAATAACTTAATTGTAATAAAATTCTGTAGTAATTGTACATTGTAAATAATTTCAAATGAAAACGTGCTGCTGAATGATATTGGGTATTGCACCACCCTGGGTTGTGTATATCTATGGCCAGGGGCTGCTTCAAGATTAATGGTCTCCAATTAAACACTAATTAGATGAGCTAAACGTTCACCTGTCTTAATCCTTTATCTCATCAGAAGGAAGTCAAGGATCATCAGTCTTAGTGACTCCCTGCAGCTTTTAAAACCTTTGGGACCTCTACCCTGTTCATGACCTTTAACCTTTACTCTGTAATCTCCAGGATCAGGTCATCTCCTTCCAGACTGCTGTCAGCCTTGACGTGGACCTTGGCCACTGTCCCTGTGAGCGGAGAGTTGACCACAGTCTCCATTTTCATGGCACTGAGGACGCAGAGGGGCTGGCCTTTTTCCACCTTCTGACCCTGCTTCACCTTCACCTCCACCACTTTACCCGGCATGGGGGCGCCCACCTGACCACGCACGTCCTTCAGAGCCTTCGGGTGGAAGTGCATCTCCTGGGGGTTAAATATGGAGTTGAGAATTAGAAGTGTGATGACCATAACGGAACTTGTTTGCCAGTGGTCACCAACCCTGGTCCTAGAAATGTGGTTCTAGATATAATCTGCTAAACCTGCTCCAGCTAATTAACGAACTAATTTTGAACTGCTGAATTGCAGTTTTTCAGCTAGAACCATGAACCTTTGCAGGATTGTAGAGGCTATACAGGAATAGTGCACTTATACTTTTGGAAACGAGTGAAGGTATGATGTTTCAAACACCATACAAAAAACTTCTACCAACACCTTAGCAACAGGCCAGCAACACTTTAGCAACCACCTCGGATAACATAGCAACATCTTAGCAACCACCTGGGATTTCACAACAATGGTTTTGTCAAGCCAGTTTACAGTTTGTGAACTTTGTCGTTTTAGTTATATCAAATATCTAATGCAGCTGCATTGCTGAAACACCAGGTCAGAATCAACCCTACGCCAGCGTATTCAGGGCCTGATGTACTACACCTTTGGTGCCAGATACAGGCACAAATCGGACGCTTTCGGATGTGTTCTGTACAAAAATGGCACGGGAGCCACACGTGCAGTTATTTGGGTGCGTACATGACAAAATGTGCTTCCACTCCCTCATACTTAGGTATTTGAAGGAGGGCCTAACAAAACATGGGAGCACTGCACAAAAAGTGGGTGGAGATACTACATATCGCGCTAAGTTTACTAAAGTTTGACTAACTTGCGTCTAGTTTCGCATCAACTTTCCTCTGCCTTTTAAAATCAGGCCTTAATGTGCATTAGAGTCTCAAAATATTTGTTGTTGAGAGGCTTCCTTTCACAGCAGACACAGTGACTAGGCGGAGACACAAGCCTCAAATATGTGCTGAGAGAATGCTTACTATCAGAATAACACTATTTAAACTCTCAGGCCAAGGTGTACAAATGAGAGAAGACACAGTGCAAACTATGGAATGATGCAGCTGCAGTTGTGCAGTTGGTGTCTTCATATCACAAACCTTTCTCTAGTAAAATAACACCTCTATACAACGATATGTTCTCTTCCTTACTCAGCTTTCATATTTTTATTTTGTCTCCAGCTTGTGGACTGCTCCATTATTTCACTGTGCCTCATCAATGCTGAGCCTCCCAAGCAAGCAGTTAGTGGGCAGGGCTTATCACAGTTTGCGCAATAAGCTGCAGTCGTGGTCTTAAACGTTAAATTCAGGCACATTGTGGTCACATCAAGACAGATTTTGTGCTGCACTTGCACTCATACGTACTTGTGGCCCTGAGTGTCATAAATATACCACCACACACTTACTGTTAACTATCAACTTAGCAAACACCACATGTTCAACTTAACTCGTATCACAGCATGTTTGTGTTATGCACCACTCCCAACAACACTACAGCGTTAATTTTGTACCAAAAGTTTAATATGCTGTCATGTATTATTCGGTAGTGCAGTATTATACCCCTGAACTTCAATGGTTCAACAGAATTCATGATTTTGTTTCCTTTTCATGTTTTCATCCACCAATGTTCTTCCCATGAACATGCCATACTCAAATGCATCTCACAGACTTTGGGAACCCCCCCCCCATCTACACACTAACACATTTACCACACTGCCAGCTCTAGTTTCATTAGTAGATTGTGTACGGTCATCATTTCTCTTCATTCAGTTTTGTTAAAAGAATATTGAGTTACAAAACCAGCATGGAGAACTTAATCAGTTTATAAGCTGAGTATATCATTACACCTCTAACAGACATCATGCCAAAGCATAAGAGGTACCTGAACTACTTTATGACATGACAAGAATACTGGTAGAACGGTTCAAGCGTTTTCTCAGGAGACTTACTGAAATATTTAACTCAATCCACAGGGCTGCAGGCGTGGGAACTGCAGTTTTTACACCTGCTGCTTACCTTGAAGCTAGGTGTGATAACACAGTGGCAGACATTAGTCAATTTACTATCAGAGAAAAAAAACAAAGGCGCAGTTGTGAATCCAAGGGGAAGATTTAAGGCTAATAAAACTGACAGTGACACACAGTTTAAGCTCACAGGTTTAGGTAACACAGTTTATGTACCTTAAAGGAAAAGATCAACACAGTGTCAGTGTGTCATCTGTGGCACAGAACAAACAAGAAAAGGCTAACTGTCACTTTATTTCCTTTTTTCTATCAAGTAATGCCATCTGCCAAGAGAGAAATTTTGAGTAAAGTGCCATTTTTTTTCTACTGGTTGTTAGAGTACTTGGAAAGCAGCAAGGTGAGGACTGATAATCAGACAAAACACTTGAATGACAAATTTATGATCCACATATAGAAACTGAGAGATATGTTGCCAAGCAACTTGATGTTTTGAAAGATGCTCAAAAGATACAGCCTTGACTCGAAGCAAAAAACATCCATAACCAAAAAGTGACATCCATTAAACTGCATTAAAAAAAAACAAAAAAAAAAAACTGCAAGTGCATTTAGCCTTGAGGGCGAGTAGAGAGGTATTTCCTATTTTGTAAGAGCATGTATGTGTGCCTGCATGAGCATGTGCACAATGTGCATCAAGGCGGTTGGTTTTCATTGAGGGGGAAAGCCAATTTGGTTTGTAAAATAGCAATTACCTTCATGGCCACTGTATCCTTGACCAGGACTGACCGCAGCTGACCATTGAGCTCGAAAAAAACTTCCCTCTGCCCAGCCTTGTTCAAGTCCCCTAAGGCCAGGGCTTTGATATGTAGTGTCTTTCCTCTCTCCAACTCAACCTGAAAAGGACGAAAGACAGTGAGTGAGAGAGATCGAGAGAGAGATCGAGAGAGAGAGAGGGGACATTAAAGAGTGAAGTTAGACTTAAGAATAAAAAGATGGAAGAGCATTAAGTGGAGACGCATTTGAGTTAAACATAGACATATTTGCAGAGAGCTGACTCAGGCCTTTGGGAGGCTCACTGCCACGTGCTGCTTTTGGCACTTAACGTGGTACAGCTATTTCGGGGGGGCGCGGTAGCGTTCACACGTCAGTGACAGCTTAATATAGCCCATGCTAATCTGTGCTAATCATCCATGGCTAACATCTTATTTGGTTGGCTATACTCCAAGGAGTGCTTCGGTAATCAGACTAAGAAAAAAGAAAGAAAAAAAAAAAAAACTCCAGTCACTAAGCCATAAAGGATTACGCAGGCTTTCACAGATGAATGCTGGGAATAATATAGTCTTTATCCAAGAAGAGAACGAAACCTAGTTTAAAGGTTTTTAGAAAATCGAAGGCAGATACAGACTTTTCAATCCACTTCACATCAGTGGAGGCTGTTTCTGAGGTAAAGCAGCCAGCAAGCTACATTTACTCACCCCTCTCTCTCCCCCTCACTCCCTTCCCCCTCCCCTCTCTTTTCCTTGTCTGATTAGCCGTGGCGGTCTGGCCTTTCATCTCCTCACAGTGCAAAGCGCGGGGCCAGAAGCACGTCTGGACCTGGCAGGTAGCACCCAGGTGGGCGTAGCATGTTCACCCGCCGCTCCAGCTGCCTCAGCTCACTGTTACAGCATCTTCCACAGCTCAGATTAATGGGGCTTTAGGATCCACACACATCACCAGGCTACAGCAGGCAAATTTAGTATCACCACAGGGCTAACTGAGACGGATGGAGAGCAGCACGAGGTTAGCCGAGGTTACGCTCTGATAAGCTAGCCAGAGTCGCCGAGAGCAGACTGAGCTGCAGTGATTTCTTGACAGCATTGGCACTGCTAAGTAAATGCTAACACTGGACTACAGCAGTGTTGGTTTGGGAATGTCTGAGTGACCCTTTTATGTGAGGCTATAAAGGAACCCTATTGCTAAGGCATTTTCACAATACACTATGTATTTTACGAAGTGAAAAAAGTTGGTATTGATAGCAGTGCAGTAGCAAAACAGAAGGGCTAAATTTAAAGAGTGGCTTGGGGGGTGAGGACTGTGGCTGCATTCAGCCTTTAACTAAATGCTACCTGGGTATGACATGATTTTTTCTTACAGCCTAATATCCTAGTTTTATAATGAAATGTCTTGTTAATTAAGGAAATGAACACAAACATCACGAATGAATACTCGAGTACTCAAATTATTTGGGCCAGTCCTGTTCTCTTCTATGATGTGTGCAGTTGTGCAGTTTTATGTTTTTCTATTTTAAGTATTTATATTTTAATTATTTATATTTTAAGTATAGAAAATACCCATGACATTTTCAGAAAAGTGACATGACAGTTCACAATGATTACACAAAGGCCTTGCTATACTTTCAGCTAAACGAAGGTCGTGACCATTGTGTGATGTTGAAAGCACCTTTGCAAGCTTAGAAGACTGCAAGTTGTGGTTTCTGCCGTTTTAATTTGGCTGATCCATCTTTGCATGACGGCATGCCTCTTTTGCACTGATGAATCATAGGCTTTGTCATGTAGGGTGTTCATCCCCGGTTATTCATTTTCTCCGCAATTACGTCATGTTATTTGCCCTAGCCAGGCGAACAACGTCTTTGCAAGAAGTCTAGAGTCCTCAACTCTGCCCTGCATATTTCAGAGTTTGCTGTGCTCCCTACAGACCTGATACAACTAATGAACTAATTAACAAGCCCTTCCTGAGGTGAACTGACTCTTTTATAGTATAGAAAAACACTACAACATTCAGAGCAGCGGGACTCCAGGACTAGGACTGAGAACCACTGTGATAACATATCTTCATTTTGCCCAGACTTACTACGGTATACACTAATGAGTTTTTAGCCTAAATCTCCACGTCACCAACATATTAGCTATGCTAATTAGAACCCCGCATCCACAACCCCCACGACACACACACAGACTCATTGGAGCACTCCAGATAATAAAGTTACTGCAGTACAAGGACAGGTTAGGCCACTGAGCAGGACTAATTTAGAGCTTCTCCTGGCATTGACATTGAATATTAAAATAGGAGAAAAGAGGAGTCAGGCTTTTTTGGCCAGTGCTTAGAAGGTCAAATCCCTCAGTGCTGTAAGTCTGAGAGGCCGAACTGGGTTTGGCATGTGCCTGTCTCCAAAGAAGGGATGGGGGGGGGAAATATAGAACAGTTGGAAACTTTGCCCCAGATAGAGGCATCACCATGAGCAGACATTATAATTTATGGCAGACAAGCAGAGCCAGACATGATAAAAAATGTGAGAGGAGAGAGAGAGAGAGAGAGAGGGCAGAGAACAATGTGAATAAATTACCTCAAACTCCTCAGCAATTTTGGGGCCGTCCAGGAACAGGCGGGTGTTCAGGCGGTCAACAGGACCGAAGTTGCGTCTGAACTCTTTGAACTCGTTGAAGACTTTCGGGTACATGGCTGCTGACATCACATCTTCAGGCGTGATTTCACTACCATGCGCCATTTGCAGGTCAGCCTCCAGTTTTTTGAAGTCCATGGCAGGCAGCGAGGCGCCAGGACGACCCTCCACACGAGGCAGCGACTTCAGCACCTTCAACACACGGTGGACTAAAGTTAACTTTAGTTGGTGAAATATCAAATGAGAAATCCAGCACGGTCCAACTCTTTGAACTTTCACCAGGTGTTGATGAGCAGAAATTTGCAAGCGGAACGGGGAACACTTTCACATTCTGACAGACTAATTACTCTTTAATCTCCTCATCGGCTCCTTGCTGAACATGTTGCTGTGTAGTGAGAGGTCTCTTACCTCTTAATATTTGAAATGATTCATATACACATATAATGGTGTCCACAATGATCGTGGCGCATTAAGTTAGAGTCAGTCCTTTGTGCTACCCTGCTCGTTAACCCTTACAAATCTTCAATTCTCATCATATGTTCAATTCTCATCATGTGTGTGTGTGTGTGTGTGTGTATGTGTGTATATATATATATATATATATATATATATATATATATATAGAGAGAGAGAGAGAGAGAGAGAGAGAGAGAGAGAGAGAGAGAGAGAGAGAGAGAGAGAGATCTTCCGAGGAGATACCTGAACGATTTGTCTACATTTGCCATCACAAATGTGATTACATAATTACATTCTAAAAAAATTTGATGCCAGAAAGGGTTATGTGCATGATGCCACAGAAGAACCACATTTGGTTGCCTAAAGAACCTTTGAATGAATTTGTTTTTTAAACACATAGATAGGAGTGTGAAGAGACTTTTTAAAGTTTAAAAGAACCTTCATATAATGTAAAGGTTCTAGGAAAGAATCTGAAAAAGAAACTTTACATTATGTGAAAATGCTTTCTACCTTTAAATGTTATTTACCCTCACACATAATCAGATTATATTTATATATTGTCGCTTATCCCAAAAAAAAGTAGTTCAAAAATGGTAACTTCGCCTGCAAAAATGGTGTTGAAGTTTATTGTATTATTTATTAAGTTAATGTAAAGACGTTTTAAAGATTTTGTAGCTTTTCTACATCGATATTTACAGCTGCACTTCTGACTTCTCCCCATTTGTTCTGATATCAGGATGTAAAACGTAAGAAGGGTTTTCTTTCCACAAAACAAGACTCCACCCACAATAATAACTTTTGATCGATGCAAACTATAGTAAAGAATCTCCTCTATAGGGCAAAGTCTAGAATCCATTCTTACGACAGAATTTCTTCACTTGTTTCAATGAGCTGTGGATGACAAACCTAAAATGGCATCATGCCTTTGTTACTAGTGATAACTAATTTCCAAGGATTAAAGACAATACCTTCACATTTTCACTAATTACTCAAAATACAGCATAATAATTATAAGCATAATGACACAAACCCAAACTAATAGAGTACACCGGTGCACAGAGCATGAAATTTCTCCTCAGCGTTTTTGTGCTTGGCATATCTGACGCTGTTACTTCAAATACAATGAATGCTTCATTAGCACTGTCAAACATGCTGCAAGAGAAAATGGAAAACATAGACAATTTTAACAACAGGAACATTGTCAAGGACATGTAAGATGTCTATGCAGTGTAGAAATAATTGATCTTGTTTAAGAGAAGCACTCGCTGATTAATTGAGGTTGGCACGACAAGTGTCAGGATGACAGTCCTTTGTTTTTTTTTGCAGAAGCAGCAGATGAGAAAAAAAACAACAACAACATTAAACCATCCTTTGTATCACTGCTGAAAAAATAGCAGGAGGTAACTAGATTACAGTGTATCACAGTAGCAGAAAAGAGGGTGAGGGGGAAAAAAAAAAGATAAACATATACGCAAACAAATGGCTTATACCAACAGGTCTGCTCTGTAATAGCTCAGCGCTTCAGTTTGTTATTCAGCCAAAACTTCACTGCGCCCCTACTGTGTGTTAAAATGGTCACCCACCGTCCCACCATGCCTGGCTTTTGATTAAATTGCCTCCCGACAGTTTGTGCACCATAATTTCAGGGCTTAAAGAGTCCCCGTTGAACCATATCTGCTCTTTGTAGCCGTGGGATGCATTTGCCCTACATTGTCATTTGAGCAATGATTTGCTTGTTTAGCCGAGCAGCCGGCAAGCTACCAAAATTTCCTCTACCCATGTGCTTCTTTTCACCACTCTGAAGCGCATCCACTTTCTTCTCCTCCCTCTATCCCAACAGTTGCCCCTGGTTCATTTGTTTCGCCTCACTCGCAAAATCCTCTTTCGCATGCTATCATCTTTTCCTCGCTAGCGACGGCCACAGAGGAGCCAGTGGGTGGTTATGGGAATCAACGTGGCAATAAAACATTAGAAGCAGCTTCCTCTCTGATGGCAGACACTTTGTAACCTGGTCACACGCCTCGCTCACTCTATTTTTCCCCTCTTACCACATGAATAGCGCAGGATGGAGTTCTTCCACTGCACTGCAACTTTATTTGCTCAAATTTATAAGCATCAAATCAGGTAAGGCAGCAAAAAGGAGACTCCTGCTACTGCTGTTAAACCCAGAGGAGATACGGAGATACAGCAGAGAGTGAGAGAGAGAGAGAGAGAGAGAGAGAGAGAGAGAGAGAGAGAGAGAGAGAGAGAGAGAGAGAGAGAGAGGAAAACACTGTCCATTTTTATTCTATATATATATATTTTACACTATTTGGAAATGTCAGCTGCTGTTTATGTATATGTATGTTTATATATATAAATTTCATGCTTCATGGTCTAAAATGACTTCAAATAAAATAACTTGTTACATTAACTTACACCAAAAAGTTAGGAATGTGAGTTAAGAAGTGGTGATTTATATTTTATCTGTGTGTGTATACACACATTTGTACATATACAAACACAAAAATGATTAAAATATATATAGAAAATTGGAATGTGTCCAAGACCTAGTTAGGCACAAAAACTGCCCCCATCAGATAAACAGTACTTAAAGCTTTCATATTTCCACAGGTGTTTCTGTACATCCTTCCACTGTGAGAAGACAACTCAGCACTATGAGTCTGAAAGGATGTGCAGCTGACAAGATGCTGTTACTGAGAAAAGTAAGTGGCCAAAAAAAAAAGATTGTTTGCAAATCAAACAAAGAAGCTGCTGTGCTCTCAGAACAAGGGAGTCCAGACCTCAACATCACTGAATGTATTTGGGATTACATGGATTGTGAGAAGCCAAAAATGCAGCCAACTTCTAAGTGTCCCTGCAGATTTTTTTTTTGAAAACCTGAAAGAAATCCTCCAGCTTTGAATTTATATTTAGTTGTTGAGGTTTCTGTGTAATTTTGTTAGATCTGAAGCAAGAATTGAGTTTTTATAAGCATGAATAACTTGCATTAAATTACTGTTTTGACTGGAAATGAAACAAATCAAAGGTGGTCTCTAACTTTTGCACAGTCAATATATATAGAGAGAGTGAGAGAGAAAGCATGAAAGAGAGATAATCTGACAGAGTGGTAGTGTGAGAGAAAGAAGGAGATAGGCCAAAAAAAGAGAAGACAGACGTACACAGACAGACAGACAGACAGACAGACAGACAGACAGAGAGCGTGTGTCATACTTGATTCTGTTCAGCCAAATCGGTCTGACTCACCTTGCATTACCCTGAACCCCTCCAGCCTGTCTGAACACTCTGATATCCTTCACAACGCACGGAAAGCAGAGCTGAGTGTTTACTGTGGAGCTGCAGCGACTGGACCACTGGACTCAAGGTTATGGGCTGAGACATTAATGGACATTACGTCCAAGAGAATGTGAGAGGCACACAGATCACCATTTAAATACCTCCTCTGATCTCCATCCATCCATCCATCACTCACTCATGCCGGGCAGAGGCAGGAGACTTCGGATGGACATAATGATCTCTGACTGGAGATAAACACCAGCAGGTGACAGGCCTTAGGAGCGAGACTAAAACCACCATGCCCCAGAAACACTCTGAAGCCCAAGGTCGAATGTCTTCATCACACCAGGAAACTTTTTTGACCGAAACTCTTCAAATGTTTAGGCTCAGGTTAGGCTCAGAGAACACAGTCCACTTTCCATATCCAGTGTTCAGAGTAAGGCTGCTGATCTAGAAGCGCTTTTGTTTACCCACATAATCGAATTCATTACATGAAACAAAATAAACAGACTTGCACGGGTCAGCAAACTGGGAATGATTAAAAAAGTCTTAAGGGATCAGAGTACAAGCCTAGTCCAGAAACTAAACTTCCTCTTCACAAGTTTGGAATCACTTGTATTACTTTACATACAACAACATATACTGTCACATGCAAAAGTTTGAACACCCTGAGTCAAATTACATGCTTTATTGATTTTTTTAAGTGATAATAGGCACACATCCTCTGCAGAGAACACACTTAAATATTACACTTTTCCCTCAAAATTTAGTGCACAGTTTCTAATTATTGTGGTTAAAATAGTGGAAAAAATGAATTAAAAATGTGCCATAATTTTGATTTGTTTGATTTTTTTTTTATAATAAATCAAACTCGGTAATAAACAGTAATTGTGTACTTGCACTTTGAAAATAAACAGATGATGTAATTTGACCAGGGGCACCCAAACTTTTGCATCCGACTGCACATGTGAAGGAACACAGACATATTCATGAGTCCATTTCCAAAGCTTTAAAAAACATGAAACCCTGAGACAGACTATATAAAGGCAGAACATAGGCTTGAAATCGCTTGGGGCAATGACAAGGTAGGGTTACAAACTAAACACCGGTGAGGGGCATGACAAGGGGGCAGAGCTAGAGAGAAACAAGAGAGACAAAACTGGAGAACAGAGAAAGTGGCAATAAAATGTCAGTATAAAATATAAACATCACAAGTTATTTTAGATGTCTTACGCAATATTTCAAGTGCTTTGCGAACAACTAAGATATTCAATGTGTTATGTATTTACAGTATGTTTACATTTGTACTTTGGCAGACGCTCCCATTCAAAATGACTTACAATTTAATCATGTTACAGTGGCGGGTGTAGTGTTAGGAGTCCATATGTAATATATATGTTATGACTTTTTTTTTTATCAATGACCTTGACTGTTTCAACTGTTTCTTCATTTTAGACACA